CTCTACATGTTACCAGCTTCTAACTACCCACTGTAACAGTGGATCTCAGTCCGTGAACATATCTCAGTCATAGATAAGGCACGCACACACACACGCACACACACACACACTCCCCTCTCTGGAGGCAGGGCTACACTGTGAGAGCTATGACTTCATTTCCTTCCACAGCAACTTTCTTCCCCTTTCAGGGTCTTGCATTTGGGAAAGCTGCTCCTCTTTCACTCTGTAGGCAGCTGCTTCCCAGTTTTGAAGTACATTCAAACACTGTACATCTGTATGTGTCAGCAGCTGCCGGGAGGACCCTAATCTTTCAGTTCCTGGACAAATGAACGAAAATATTTTTGGCCAAGATAATCAGAGCCTGACTCCACTTCTCAGCATGAGCCAGACAGAAGGGTGGAGAGCTTCCCAGGGGTACCAGGCTCAACTTCTCATCTTTACAAACTCCTTTCACAGGGTCTCCACAGCGTGAACCTCATTCTTCACTTGGCTTTGTTCCTCCCAAACAGGAATGGGCCATGATAGGGTTTTCAGCACAAGAAAAGAGAGAAAAAATATAAAGTAACAGTGGCCTTTATGCCAAGGACGTGAAGAAAAGTACAGCAACCATAGTAGTTCAGGGGCTCTTCTGATTGGGACGTGGGGTATGGGATATACGTATAATCTCTGACAGGGGGTTGCATTTACAGTGGGTATTGGTGACAGGCAAGCTCCTGATTGGGACCTTTTTCATGCCACTGGTAAATAAAAAAGGAAGTTGTCATACAGGAAGGAGGAAGTGACCTCAAGGTAAACATCCCTTGGTTCCGCCTCCCACTGCCATAATATCATATAAATTATTCTAGGGCAAAAATCCTTTCATTCCCATCTTTTTATTGTTAAGAAAAGGGTGAAGTCTCTCTTTTACTATTTTCTGCTGAAAAGGGTGCCATATTGGGATTTAGGAAGGTTGACAGGATGATGGTCAATGCCCATAGAAGTTGGTGCCAAGTGTTTTAGCCAGGACAACTTCATCATTGGTGAATGCCCACATGTTAGACTAGAAAAACAGACAAGGTGATATGAGGAGGAAAGTGACTATCATATTTAAGGACCCAGGCGACGTAGAAGAAAAGGTGCCTTTGATTTAAATATACCATTCCATCAGGACCACGGTGAAGTGGAATCCTTACCACAGTGAGGTAGAATTCTGAAAAATAAGTGTGGCATTAGGAGGAGTGAAGTTATGAGAGGTGATTATTCCTCCACCTGAAAGGGTAAAAGTTAAAAAAGTGTAGGTATGTGGGACTTGTCTCTGGTTCAGGAGTTGAGCTGGAAAGTATAACAGGTGTGGGGAAGACCTTGGCTGTGTCACTGCACTATAAGGGAGATAAGAGCCTAGGCCTTCAGGGATGTCAAGTTTGACTAAACAGCTGAGGGTAGAGAGACTAAGACAGTTGTCACATAGAACAACATGAAGAGGATCTTACACATGATGTGGGAGTCTTTTGGAAAGACTATCAAGAATTCTGCTGTAAAACAGAAAATTAATAGAACGTAAGGAATTACAAACCAAATTGGAGAGCAAAATATGACTTAGCCTGAGAGTTGTGGCTGTGAGGCCTTGGTGAGATGGAGACAGGTGGGCGATAAAACATGAGATGACAACTCAGGATGGTTAGATTCAGGGTTGGGAGAGCACCACATAGCTTGAGTGATGTGAAACCAGGATGGCAGTCCAGCAACTTTGACCACTGTTGGGACCTTTTTCATGCCACTGGTAAATAAAAAAGGTCAAGAAGGGTAGAGGGTCAAGAAGACCAGGTAGGGACCGCTCCACCTTGGTTGTAGTCCTGTGGGTTTAGAACATTTGAGATAAATTAGGTCTCCTGGGGATATGGGAGGATCTGGTTTGGACCCTTCAGAGGGCTGGGGAAGGCAGAGATCAGCATGTTGTCGTAACAGGTGTCAGAAGAAGGCAAGGATTGGGATGTAGTCAGCAAGAGGAGGGAGACTTTGGGGGGTAGGAAGGTTGTGGAGTAAGAATGGTCTGCTGTACAAGCCTGAGTGTGGCTAAGGCCAGGGGCAGAAGTTGAGGCCAAGGCTGTTGTTCTAAAATGAGCTTTGTAAGGTGTGTTTTTATGAGGCCATTTTCCTTTTTTACTTTTCCGAAAGATTGTGGATGGTATGGGATGTGTAGGTGCAGGTGATGTGTAAGCTTGAGGGTACCTGTTGGGTGAGCTGAAAAATAAAGGCTGGACTGTTATCTAACTGAATACTCTGAGGTAGACCAAACCTTGGGATGATTTTCTGTAGTAGGACTTTAGTAACTACATCAGCAGTCTCCCTCTTGTGGGAAAGGCTTTTATCCGTCTTGAAAAAGTACAAACAAAGGTGAAAAGATATATGAGATTTTTGTGGTGGGGCATGTGTGTAAAAGCTATCTGCCAGTCCTGAACAGGGGCGTGTCCATGAAATTGATAGTAGGAAAGGAAGGGGGTGCTATATGTCCCTGAAGAGAAGTCCTAGTACAGAGATGACAGGTGTGAGTAATCTGAAGAATGATAGCTTTCAGAGAAAGGTGTGTGGCTACTGGGGCTAAGAGTCTGTATGGGGCCTGTGATCCTTTATGGAATCAGTTATGTAAGTCAGTGATGCTGTCTAAGGCCTGCTGATCTGGGAGAACAAGTTTTGACCCCTGGAAAATCCATCCCTGAGTGTTTTGTGTGTAATCTGGTTTATAAAGTAACTGTAGCTGCTCTGGTGAATCATTAGGTTGAGGTAGACTGTTGGGGACTAACATAGAAGATGAGAAGGATAGGGCCTTTGTGTAGCTAACTTGGCTTGTGAATCTGCAAAGGCATTGCCTTGAGCAATGGGACCTGCAGAATTCTGGTGTCCCTACAATGAATAACTGCTGCCTGCTTTGGGAGTAGTGCTGCCTCTAGGAGTTTAAGGGTAAGAAGTGCATTAATGATGGGGGTTCCCTGAGAGTTGATAAAACCTCTTTCTTGCCAGATAGAGGCATGAGAGTGTAAAATGCTAAATATATACTTTGAATCAGTGTATATATTTATGACTTTGTCCTTTGCTAGTGTAAGAGCCCTTGTAAGGGCAATAAGTTCTGCCCTCTGGGAAGGTGTCCCAGGTGGCAGTGGATTAGCCTCTATGACTTTTGACTGGTTAAACTATACATATCCTACTTTTGGGGGGCTGTGTTTGTAGAACTGCCATCTATGCACTATGTGTCAAAAGCTAAAGAGAGAGGTGTGCTACTGATGCGAGGGAAAGGGGTGGGAGTCATCTGTAAGACCTCAATACAGTCATGGTGAGGATGGCCCTCTGAGGTGAGAAGTAAAGTTGCCACATTAAGAGGACCACTAGTTGCAACAGAGACACAGGTTTCCTGAGAGAGGGCTAGATGTACCTGTTGAAGGTGAAAAGGGTGGGGAGTGCCTTACATGCGATAAGCTCACTTAGATGATGAGGTGAGTGTACTGTAATAGACTGCCCTAATGTAAACTTCTTAGCTCCCCGTGTCAATAGGGCTGTGACCACAAGGTGCTAATCTTTTTACTGTGTTGTCTAGCTGTTTTGACAAGTAGGCTACCACATGAAAAGAAGGTCCCTTCTTGTGTCCTAGTACACCTACAGCATTGTGGCCCTGAGAAGTAGTATATAGAATGAAAAGTTGGGTCGGGTTAGGAAGGGTAAGGGCTGGAACCCTAGGAAAGCCTCTTTCAGTTTATAAAAGGAGCCATTTACGGGCATAGTGGGGTCTAGGGGTTCTGATAAGGGGCCCTTAGAAGCTTTGTAGAGGGGTTGAGCTAGAGCTGCAAAGTTAGGAATTCACAGATGAAACAAATTAGTTAAACCTATGAAAGATGCAACCTTGTTTAGTTGTGGGCACTTGGAGATCTCAAAGAATTGCCTTATGATCTGTAGTAATGGAATGAGTGGTGGGAGTGAGAGAAATCTCTAGATATTTGACTTTTGGGGAAGCTATTTGAACTTTAGCAGGAGAGACCCTATACCCATGACTGGCAAGCAAATTAAGGAGACTAGCTAAGTGCTATATGGCTAATGTATGGGATGGAGAACATAAAAGAAGTCATCTATGTACTGAAGGAGAACGCTAGGTTTGCGATCAAGTTCTGCAAGGTCAGCAGCAAGAGCTTGACTAAAGAAGGAGGACTATCCCTGAACCCTTGGGGGAGCACTATCCAAGTAAGTTGTTGAGACCTGAGAGTGTCTGGATCACTCCATGTAAACACAAAGAGATCCTGACAATCAGGGTGTAGGGGGATGGTTTAAAAAGGGCATCTTTAAGATCTAAAACTGTAAAGTGAGTGGCGGAGGGAGGGATATGAGAGAGCACAGTATAAGGGTTTGGCAGCACTGGGTGGGTTGGGGTAACAGCACTATTGATTATCCTGAGGTCCTGCACTAGGGGATAAGATGCATCAGGCTTGAGTATCAGGAGAATGGGAGCATTATAGGGTGAATGGGTAGGTTTAAGAAAACCATTGTCTGAAAGGTGCTTAATTACAAGTTTAAGTCCCTGTAAATGTTTGAGAGCTATGGTATATTGAGGAACACATGGAAAAATTGAAGGATCCCTGAGATGAATTAAAATAGGCATGGCATGGGTAGTGTGGGATTGGAAGTATCCCAAACTATGGGATTGACCAGAGAAGAAGGAAGGGGAAGGGATGACTTTGTGGCACATTAAGAGGGTGTTTGGAGGACTAGAGCCGTGGGGAGGGAGAAGGTAAAGGAGAAGTTAAGCCTTTGAAGATGATCCCTACCCAAAAGGGGTGTGGGACATGTTGGAATTACTAGGAAACTATGGGTAAAGAAGAGAGTCTGGAACCTGCATGTTATAGGCCCTGTCTGCAAAGGCTGCATAGGCTGGCAATCAACACCCACTACAGAGATTGAGGACTTAATACAAGGGTCTGAAAACTCAGGAAGTACACTATAAGTCGCCCCCATGTCTACAAGTACAGATAGTATCTTACCTGAGACCTCCAGTGAGACTTGGGGCTCTGAGAAGGATATCTTAGTGGGGGCTGTGGACCCCAAACCCCATCTATCTTCAGCAGCAAGTCCAAGTAGATCAGTCAGCAATGAATCTGGCAGTGATGGGATCTCCTGTGAGGGCAAGGAGTTAGAAGATGGCTTACGTGCTCTCTGGTGGCTAGGACAGTCACTCTTCCAGTGGCCCTTGAGATTGCAATAGGGGCAAGGCCCCAAAGGAACACCAGAATTGGGGCACTCTCTTGCCCAGTGTCCTTCTTTGTTGCACTTGAAGCATGGCCCAGGAGGGGCTCAGGCAGCTCCACCTTGTTTTGGCTTTCTGTCTTGGGAGCCCCAAGTGCCATGCTAAGAGATCAGATTCATATTTAGCACATTTCTTTTTTTGTGCGTCTTTCTCTTTTTGAGTTTTTCTCTGTTGTTGAAAACACAGAAAGCTATATTAAGAAGATCTTGTGGGGTTTGAGGGCCATGTTCAGCCTTTTGTAACTTTGCACTAATATCAGGAGCAGACTGAGAAATAAAACAAGAGTTAACAACAGTCATCCCTTCGTGAGAGTCTAGGTTTACATTAGTAAACTTAATTAAGGTGTCCCTAAGCCGATTCAGGAACACAGCCAGATTTTCATCAGTCTCCCGCACCTGTTCTAAAAGCTTGTTAATAGTAAAAGTTAGTATGTTTGTGAGCAATTTTTTTAAGGCCCACAATTAGACATTCAATCATCTTATGTATTTTATAAGAACTTTCTCCATTTCGGTAATTTCAGTTAGGATCCTGTTCAGGCACTACTAACCCTAACCATAAGCCCAGGGTCATTGTCAGTGATAGTTGGCTTATGTCTGTGATTGGCTTCTTTTTGAGTCGCTTGCCACAGCTGAGCTTGCTCTTGTGAGAGCCAAGGGTGGAGTTCAGAATCACATAAATATCCTTGAAATGTAACAATTAGTTATAAATTTAAATTCTCTAATATAATTATGTGGGTCAACAGAGAAGCAACCTAATTTATGGCTAATCTGAGATAGGTCAGAAAGGGAGAAAGGTACATGTATATTAACTAGTTTCTCGGGGCCAGCCTGTTCTTGAAGTGGGAGTAGACATCAAGGCTGAGATGGCTATGGAGTAGATGACCACAGAGTGGCCAACCATCTGGCAGTTGTATGTGGGCAATTACCCGATGATTGGCTACAAAATGGCTGCTTGTCACCATGCTACAAGGAAACACAGGCTGCTGGCGGGTCACCGTGTGACCTGCAGCAGCCAAGCTGATGCTGGCAGCACAGTGAGTGAGCACAAGATAGCAGCTGGTCTGCATGTGACCCACAGCAGAATGCCTTCTGCTGATTGCACAAGGAGCCAATGGGGGCGGCCATTGATCCTGAGACCCATCCAAGATGGCAGCGCCCTGTCACATGGTGGAGGGCTGCAAGATGGTACCTGTCCTCCATGCGAGCTGCAGCAAGATGGCTGTTGACAACCGTATGGCCTGCCAAAAGGCTGGAACACCTGAGACTGCATATGGTGAGCCAGCAGAGAAAATGGCAATGCAAGGGAAGGGGACAAAGAACCCTCAGACAGAACAGATGGCTTAGGTTGTGGGGGTTGAGAAGTTGGAGACTGGGGAGAAACACTAAGGGAAGGAGTAGAGGCCGCTGTGGATGAGGGAGGAGAAGAGGACAGCACAGGGGATACAGAAACCTTTGGCTGAGAAGGCTGTGGGGTTTGATTTTAAGGATAGGGAGGAAGGGGAGTAAAGACAGGGGGCACATCATCTAAGGGGTCTTGATGGGAGGAGGGGAGAGTTTCTGGTACAGCAGAGTTAGCTAAAAAGATTTGAGCCGCTGTACATGATTTAATGAGAGAAGAGCACGTCATTAGGGTAAAGAAGGCCTGTATATATGGAATTTCTGCTAATTTTTTGCCAGTGTAACAAAAGTCATATAAATTTTTGAGAATATAGGGGTCACATGTCCCCTTTTTAGGCCATGGCTGCCATTAAGCTGGTAGGTCAGCCATGCCTCCCGGCAGTAAAAGATTGTTTAATTCTTATAGTTTTCAAAGATACCAAGGTTACAAACCAGGCACCCCAGAGGTGTACTTTTTGGGAAACAGGAAATAGTATTCCCCATGACCAAATTAAAAGTGAGCCAAAAGGACAATTTTGCCTCAAGCTGTGAGAGCTCTGGCTCTCCCCCAAGGAATGTGAAAATTGTCCCAGATCACACTTAACAAAAGAGATTGTCACCTATTTTGGAAGCATGATTAAAACGGCTCAAACCTGAACCCATTGGCCATCACCAAAAGGCACTTGGTTGGCATCCCAGAGGACCAGAGTAATGGCTCTGCCTTGGACCATCCAAAGAACATGAGAACTACTACCTTTGTCCAGCGATGGAATGGATAATCTGGCACAGGCCAGCCCACAGTAACAGAAAACCCTGGATTGAAATTAGCTCACCTGTGGTAAATGAGACAGGCTGCTATTGTTTGCAGGCTGGTGATGACAAGCAGCTCCCGCATGTTGAAAAATGAGGAATTAATCCAAGATATGGTCCAGTCCATGAATCGGCAGGGGACTCAAAGTGGGAGGTCCCCAGGAGTCACTCACACTGCCTTGCCGGTCAGGGAACCAAATGGTAGAGTTTTTGGTGTGAGGAAAGAAAGAAAAAATATAAAGTAACAGTAGCCTTTATTCCAAGGATGTGGAGAAGAGTCCACCAAACATAGAAGGTCTGGGCCTCTTCTGACATGGGGTGTGGAGTACACATATAACCTCTGACTGAGGGTTGCACTTAGGGTGGGCATTGATGACATGCAAGCAGGTGATTGGGACCTCCTTCGCGCCACTGGTAAAGGAAGAAAAGAAGTTGTCATAGAGGAAGGAGGAAGTGACCTGAAGGTAAACATCTCTTGGTTCCACCTCCCACTGCCATAATATTATATAACTTATTCTAGGGCAAAATCCTTTCAGGCTGAGCTCACTGTACTTGGCAGCCAGACACAAATGAGGACCTAGAACCTCCCAGGCTCCCCAGGCCCACCATGCTAGGATACACATGACAAGGAAGCTCCAGGCACATTTCAACCCAGACAACTGCACCTCTCATTATGATCATTCAAGGCTTTTACCTGAATCTGAACCCATCCCCCAAATGTCCCACTTTATACTACACAATAAATTTCTCAGCATCAGCAAAGTCTCATTCAACTGTATCATAAGCCAGACACTATTTTTAACATTATTACTGTCACCAGCAATCCGAAAAACTTACTTCCTCCAGAGTTCTGTATGCATTATTTAATTTAATCATGACAACAACCATGAAAGGCAGGCATGATTTTATTCTGAGTTTCAAAATAATTCCCCAAACAACCAAGTGCTTGTTCTTAAGGTTTCCACCACAGAGTCCCCCTATACTTCTAAGTGATGTGTAGGTCCCCAGTTGATGCTACTGTTACAGATAGCTGAGTTAAATAGAAATATTATAGGTAGTCAGACAGGGCTGAGCCCTTGAAGAACCCAGTGCAGAAAACCAGATACCTTAGAATTATTCGGGAGATAAACACCTCACACATGGGTCAGACCTCAAGACAAAGATCAAAGAAATATACCCACATCCTAAGAATAAACATCAGGGATTGATATTCTAAACAGGTCTCTATAACCCCGAGCAAGGCAAAGGAAGTCACTAGCCCTGCCGTCTACAGACAAGACCCTTGCTCACTATACTCATAAGTGAAATAAATCAATCTCGCATGTGTGAATACCGAATAGTTTCCCTAATGTAAGTAATGATTCAAATATATAAAAATATGTGGTAATCATGATTCCCCATTAGGTGGCCTTGAAGCCTTATAAAGTTTTCACTCATTAATTAGAAAGGCTTTATTCTGGGCTTCTTGATATGGAAATATTTAAAGCTAGAGTATATGAAGTTTTATCCAAATATTTCAAGGAAAAAGACAGACACTATGGTAACTACTATTAAGTCGGGTTATATGGTGGTGAAGTACTAGGTTGCTGAAACAGTCATGCTTTGACCTCTATTGTTATATTGTTATATCCTGTTTTATCTCAATCTCCCCCTTATTCTTTTAAAAAAAATTATTTAGTCATTTCTTATGTTTGTCTTACTTAAGGGAAAAATTTTTAAAAATTAGGATATATAAATAGTAACTCTTTTGGATTTCCTATTAACTTGTTTTGAAGTCCTATAATACTCCCACGATCTTGTTTTGACTGATTAGACTCTGTTCCACTCTGTATGATAGTATCAAGTTTGAGGATATAGGCAACTACTTTGAAGGCAATAAGATTCACTAAGATGCCCATTCTGGTTTGACTATTGTCTTCTATGGAAGTCCTGTAATGTTTACAATGCCTAAGTTTTATTGGTCTTGTTCTCTACTGTTTTGTCCAACTTTATAATATCTAATGAGATAGACAATTCTTTTTAAGGAAACAAGAGACAACGTTGATAACCATTGTTGATAACCTTGTACTCTGTTCTACACCATGTGCTATGTCTATCCTTAGTTTTGACTGACAGCTTTGTTTTGCCGTATTTGACTGTATTTTCTTCCCCCCCAAAAAGTAATAAGCACTAAGGAGTAATAAAATCCAAAATGTGTAAATTTTGTTGTAAAAAAGAGAGGGAAAAAAGATAAAATAAAATAAAAAGAGCTCTAACGGATATAACAGCAAGTGTGTTTAGGGGTGTTAAATAGCTGACTATATCAATGTTTTTGGATCATTGAATACAGCTGTTTGCAGTCTCCCTGTTTGAATGTCCACCTTGTATTCTTTTTGATACTGTGATTTGAGCAACTATTTTCAAGATGATAATATGTAATCTATTAACAGGTGATTTCTTACTGTTATGTTTTTTTTTTTTTTTGTAGTTCTGTATTACGTGTACCCTTACACCGCTTTGTTTTGTTTTGTGTTTTTCTCTTTTTCCTCTTAAATAAAATTTAAAAAAAAAGACCCTTGCTCATATAGAGAATATATCATGCCTAATTGCTACATGATCACTTCTCCTTTGTTCTCAATTTAACCACTATTCCTTGAGCAATTATACTCATAATCTTATTGGTCGATCATAGTTCTATCCCACCTCATGCCCACCTTGCAAGTTGCCATTTTTTCCTCACCTTGGACCTGCCTCATCCTGGGGTTTTGCTCTATAAAAATCCCTAGAAAAGACAGTGTCTTTGGTAACCCCAGTAGGGATTCCTTTTGCCTCTCTCTAGAGAGAAGCTTTTTTTCTTCAACAAATATAATTCTTCTCTTAACCTCTGTTGTTCCTAAAATTCATTCTTCAATTTTAGAGAACATGAGCCAGTACTAGCTATCTAGTAGGTTGGAAGTTTCTTTCCCCTGTATTACTGTGACCTTTGGAATATGAGACAACTGAGCTTGAACCTAGCGAACTGTTTCAATGAGTGGCATTTACATAGTTCATTGCTGTCTAAGCATCATTTCCCATTTATAAAAATTGGGGATGAAATTAATGCCTAACTCACTAACCTGTGTGCAGTGAGGTTAAATGCAATAATAAGGTTAAGGACTCAGTGTGATACCTGACCAAAAAAAAGGCCCTAGAGAACTTCTGTCTGGTGAACTAAGGAATGCCCTCTGGCAGTTAATACCAATGAAGGAGGGAAGGAGCACAGGAAATGCCAATAGTGGCTAAGAAAAAAGCAGTACTATTTGGCTCTGGGGTGTGGCCAGACACAGTGACATGAGGAAAGTCCATGGCTCTCTCCTAGCTCCTGAAGTTTAGTCCTGAGGAGGTCTTAGTTGTGAAGTTCATGCCCTATGGTATTCAGTTTCCCTCTACCTGGGTCACAAGCTAAAAAGCAAAATTCACAGAAATACTGATTCACACCTCTGTAGGGCCCAGTATTTCCATATTGGAGGGAACTGGACATCCACAGAAAGCGTCCAGATTACTGTTTTCTCCCTCCCTCCATCAGCAGGACTCAGAGACCAGAGAGAACCCTAGGATACAGTAGGGTTCTGGCCTAGGTGACCCTGGGTCACACACACACACACACACACACACACACACACACACACGCAATAGATAGGCAGCACTAGCTGCATGGAAAAGCTGGAAGCAACAGTACCAGTACAAGCCAGCACACGGTAAATTAGGTGAACCACCTCTGTGCTTGGGGATAAAAGAAACAAGGAATAGAACCAAGTGGGCATGGCTGTCCCTTTTCTTTTCTTTTTTTTTTTTTTTTTTTTTTTTTTTTTTTTCGGTTTTCTAAATGGCTGGGGAACACAGAAAACTAATCCCCAAAATCCAGAAACTGAGATGAGACAAATCCTTGCACAAATCCACCTGCAAATTTGACTAGAATGCACATTTCTGAGATCCCACTTGGACCTACCCCAGAACTCTAGACACTAGAGGAATTTCATTATTTTTATTTTTCTCTCTCTGATTGGTTTTCCTCTTTGTATTCAGCTGTTTAAGTTTTTTTTCTTTTTCTTTTTCTTTCTGTTGTTTTTTCCTGTTTTTTATTGTATGTTTGCTGTTGTTTTTATATGTAAGTGGTTATTTTTGTTTCATGGGAGGAGGGAAGTTTCTCATTTTTTTTCTTTCTTTTATGATTTAGATCCCTAACCTTTGTTTTTGTTTCATTCTACCCATCCTCCTTTCATCAATTACCTTGCTTGTTTTTATGATACTTTCCTGCAAGTAAACATTGTCTATTTTCTTTCTAGGCTTCCTCTTCCAATCCTTCTCTGTTGTGACTTACAATTACCCAAAACGTGATGATTATCCTGTGCCCTCCAACCTTGCTCCCACAATACTGAACCTCATTTATTTCTCTATCTCATCCCCTCTTCTTCCTAAACACACATACACACACATACACACACACACACACACACACACACACACACACATTCACAATGGCGTAAATTCACTCTCTTAAGTACAAAATCATTGCATACAAGTTCCCAGTGTAAATTGGATTATATTATACAAATGTAGAAATTCCTCCTGTGGATAAAGACATCAGACTATCAGTCACCACAGCTTGTCAATAGCCAGGCTGTTCTTGAGTTTATTGTTATTGCTAACTGTACTACTTTAACCAGGATATCACACCTGTTATAACCAGTTTTTCTTCCCTGCATGACAACTGCAATTTTAAGAGTCCATAGCCATCACCATAATCCAGTGCTTAAGGAATGCCCTAAGTCAAGGAATGGGCCCTAGTCAAGAATATAGCAATTTCATATTCTTAATGTATTGACAAGGTAGACTCTTGGGCCAGATATAAAGAAAAAGAACTGCCTCATCTAGAAGACATCCTAAGGAACAGACATTTCCTAGGATACAGACATTTCCTCAATACCAAGGATAAAACTATGTAACATAAGAAACCTACAAGCATCAACACATAAAACAAAATACAATATAAAAGAGAAAATGACAAGACAAAGAAGTAACATGCAACCCCAAACACTCAGCACTCAACAGAAATCTGGAACACAGAGATAAAGGAAATTGGAAGCCTATTACTTGAACTTTCTGAAATGGTAACAGCAGAAAGGAAAAAATTCAAATGAAAAAAAGATAATAGAAAAAAATCTCTGAGGTGCAAAAAGAAATGACAATCAAAATGAAAGACATTAAACCAGACACAGATTTTTTAAAATACAGCTCAGGAAAACAATGGAAACCATGACCAACATAAAAAAGAAATGAGATCAATGAAACAGATTCAAACAGAAATTCAGGAAAGTAGAAACTCCACTGAAAGTATGTGTAACAGACTGAATAAAGATGACAATATAATATCAGATCTAACAGACAGGGTTGCAACTAGTAACCAGGAAAAGAAAGATATTTTTAAAAGAGCTAGAGACCACAAAAACCTAATCCAACAGCTACAAGATGAAGCAAAGAAGAACAATGTAAGATTGATTGGAGTCAGCCAGTATTTCTACATCATAAGCTCACTGGCTTTAGGATTTCTGTTACTGACAAAATTGGATAGGGGGAATGTGAGGAAGAAAATTTGAAAATGTCTCTTCAAACCTCCCAAAGTGCAGAGAACTTATCTTTGTTTTTTAACTGTATAAAATTTGATTAATAGTCATCAAAATGATCTTTTCATATTCTGCTATAGACTAATGAAAACTTTGTTATGGACCTGGCTCAATATATGTATAAGCATTTAAAAATGACTACAGTATATTATTTTTCATAAAGACTCAGAAATAAAAATTATTATTAGTTTATCTGGGAAGAGGGTAGGAAATACTACATAGAGTAAAGAGATGCTCTATAAATATAATACATTAGCCAAAGTAAGTTACCATAAACCAAAAATGTTCAGCATTAGGAACTTCTCATGACATTGTATAGCAACTCATGAGATATAAAGTAATCATAAAAATTTAAGCATAAGGAATTATACTCCAAAGTTATTCTAGTTGAACATACACAAAAAGAAAATTTTAAAATTTATCAATTATCAACAGGGTTTTTTCGATCCTCCACAAAAACAACCATATATGCATATATACACATGCATATATACATATACATATATATATACATATACTATTGTAAAAACATTTTAATCTGTGCTTTGCATAATATGCAGATTTAAACTGAAAGACTACAATAGCACCATTTTCTTTTTTCTTCCTACCTTCCCCCAAGTATTAGCTTTTCTGTCACTGAGACACAATACCCAACACCCCCAATTTAAAGGAAGAGAGGTAAAATTTAACACACAGTTTCTGGGGATTCAGTCCATGATCAACTGACAACATAGGAACATCATGGTAGAGGAAGATGACAACACAACTATGCAACTCAGAGTACCCAAGAAGCAGAACAGATGAACAGTGTCTAAAGAGCAATGAACAGTATCAAATAGCAAAGGAGAAGGGACCGGATAAGTACCAAAGATTGTGCCTTAATAGTTAGTATGCTTCACTAATACTCTTAAAACTCTCAAGCCAATCAGTTTTACAAAAACTAAACTACACCCTGCCTTTACCAATACCCAACGTATATTCTCCTATGTCCTTGGTCCCACCAATGTCCTGGCTTTTCATGTGCTGTATGTGCTTTGGTAAAAAAAGTAACCCTAATGAGTTACACTTTTATGTAAGATTTTATTTAAAAAGTTAATAATAAAAGCTTGTTGGTAACTCAGTTCATTAAATGTCAATCTCAGTATACTGAAGTATTTTGTCCTGTTATCAGTCAGACTGTTTGTACCAGATAGGACTTCTCACAATCTTCATCCTCAGAATTACCGCCTTTCAGAACCATTACTTGAAAGCAATGGGCAATGTCACCATAGTTTTTGAAAGATCATTCTTTGAAGGGCTACATTCTGCATGCACAGGGTGGCACTGGCAGGGCACAGCTAGTTGGATCTGTTTATATGCCACTTTGTACTCTGAAATGATCAGGTCACCGAGCTCCTAATGCAGGTTCCTCAAACTTGGACCTTTTTGCCTTAGTACATGCATGCTTCTGAAGACAAAAGTACTTCATAAAATTGTGGTGGAAGAGTAAATACTTCATTGCACACTTATTTGATGAGCACAAGTTACATCATCTTCATATGGGCATCCTCAGAACTTTTGTTCTAGTGGTTGTTATTAATGTCCAACTATGATGAGATTTTAAAATATATTTGACTATGTGTATGTTTTTTGTAGCATTGGCAGAGGCAAATTAAAGGAAAAGTTCCTAGACAAATCTATGGAACTGTGATTTGGAAAATTATATTTAAGCATCAAATTGCTAACCAGTATAACTTAGTTGAGATCTTCAGATAAGCATTTTTTTTTACTAACTTTGTGCACTAAAGTAAAAAGATGAATTGTGGATTTGTGTTCATTTCCCTAAACCCATGATTCCCTGAACATAAGCCTGAAACACTCTATTATTTTTCCCCTTTCCAAGACTGAAGAGGACCTCCCTCCATAAATCTAACATCAGCTATGATTATAAAATAGTGAAAATTTAGCAAAACTCAAAAATGCATCAATGACCATAATCAACATCATATTTCATTTTGTCTTCAAGTCAATGCTATGAAATAATTATTTTCAGATTAAATATATATAAATTTTGCTAGGTTTAGATGATTTTCAGAACCACGTGGAAAATTATTGTAATCTAAGCATCTTACCTGCAAAGCCAAAATCTTTCGACACCGGATCTTTCTCTGTTGTGCAGGTATTAAAGTTCAGTTGTATTGTTGTAGGAAAATTCCCAAGCCAAACCAAACCAAAAGAAAGACTCTTTGCACCTAGGAGATAAGAAAGCAGCATTTAATATTTACACCAGCAGACTGTTGAATCTTCATGCCAGGGGACAGTTGAGGGATAATTCCACAAAGGCAACAGCACTGAATTTCCCGAGAGCTTAGTTTATATAGAATTTATAGAATTTAGAAGTAGCAGGTACACAGCAAGTGACAAAAAACTGCATAACTGGTTAAGTGCACTGAGTCATATATTGACAGGCAAGGTAGTCTTGAACAGATTTGCCCAAATAAAGGAATTGCTTATCATAATATAGAAACACTCAGGAACAAGGGGAAGGGTAATTGAAGACATTACTGTAATACAGAAATATCCTGGGGAGGGGTCCCTTACAGGTTGTCCATGACTGTCCCAGGATGCCTTAAGGTATAGATAATTACGTTGACTCAGTTCTCATCAGAGATATGCAGCTGGTCTTTAGACACCATCAAGGTCAGTTGAATTCAGCAGAAGCAGTAGAATAGAAGGTTGGTCAAAGACTTCTAACTGATCATGAAATACCAGTAATTTTGCTATTTTATAAATGTGTTCTTATAATTGTGTCCTAACAGTATCTCCCCATCCTTAAGACATTATTATACTTAGTGTTGAAAAATAAAAAGCCTGCAAATCTTTTCACTTTAAAATTGAGTTGAGTGTTTCATCAGCACTGTTTGATTTGAATAAAGACAAAAAGAAAAAATTCTAAAGGATCGAGACATCTGCAGAGGGATGAAGGGGGCTGCCTTGACGTTCCTTCCTTGACAAAGTCTGTGTGCATCTCATGGCTCTGTGAGCTGCTCCACACTTGAAGGATCCTCAGGGAACACAAAAGACTTGTGAAAGGGGAAGAGCGGTTCAGACAACTGATAAAAAGCCTTCTCTGTACCCTGTCCTTCCAACTTGGACTCCAGTGAATACCATGTGTTTACATAACGATCAGACCACAATAGATACGATGAGTTTGCCAAGAGCCTGGTCATTCAGCTCTGCCTTGGAGAAAAGAAAGAAAAGAAATGAAAGGAAAAAAACAGTGGCTAGGGCATGGTCCAGTGAGCTCAGATTTCTTCATGCCGAAGTTTGAACTAGAATCCCAAAGTTTCTTACTTCTAGAGAATAAAGATATTGACAAAGTGAAAAAAGAAGGAAGAAAAGAAAGAAGAAAAAAAAGAAAAGAAACAAGGAATTAGCTAGCAATTATCAGAGCAGCAGACCTTAGTAACATTCCTTTCCTGTACTCCTGGAAACCTGACATGTTGACTGACACAGGCACAAACACACTGCCCTCACCACCAGAAGAAGATATTTTGTGGGGAAGACTGCACAACCAATAAGGAATTGGCACTGACCACTCTTCCTGCAGACAGACAGTGGCTGTTGAGGTCCACACTTCTCTGGGGAAGAATGCTGTAGTCAGTCCAACCAGCAAAATCTGTGTCTCAGCATGCTGCCAATTGTATTTCCCTTCATTAAAATTTCTAAGTGAAAGGTTTCTGCCCTAGTATAAATTACTGGACGGTATGGCAGTGACTGACGTGGTATAAGGCCAAAGCAAAACAACACTTACCCTGATGACCACTTCCTCCTCCTGCCCCTTCAGCCCTGATTATGACGTTTTCTTTCCTTTCCCATGGACATGAAGAGAATTCCAATCAGTTCCTCATGCTTCATTGATGCCCACCCCAAGTGCTTCTTCTGGTCAAAGGTCATAAAACTTCCTGCCATGTTTGTCTCTGGCAGAGGAGAATGCCCAGCACCACGAATGGTGTTCTCATCTCCTTATTCTCAACAAAGGCCACTTTTTCTTTACTTTTGCTTCTCTATTCCACTGGAAAACCCTAACACTAAGTAGCCGAGGGGAAGTACAAGACGGTGATAAGATGCCTGCTCATTGGGTGGAACCCTTCATACTTAAGAAATGGTCCTGTCTACATAGCAAAAGCTTAATCAGTGGTAGCCATAGATAAATGTAAGGTATGGGCAATGAAGTGAGAAGCTTCTTTCCAAGATGGGAAAAATTACAACTGTATTTGGTCTATAAAAGGGACTCTAGAGTATTTCCCTCAAACTTCACAAAATCTCTTACAACCTCCATCAATTTTCTCCAGACCCATTTTCTTTAAAATCAAACTTCTTAACCTTGTTCCTAATTAACTTATATTTCAAAATGTACTGTATCCCAGAAAAAAATCATGGCCATTTTTCTCCTTTACTGTGATTACTTTTCTGCTGTATAAATAGACTCTAATTTATATCAAAAGTATACCTAAATTATTTTCTAGAAATATTTGAAAGAAGGAAAAGAAAAAGCTATAAATTTGTTGTGTATGATAAACAACTATACTAATTGTATTAGTTATTTGAAAAGAAAAGTTAATATTCATATGTTTAGATCAATTTTACATACATGTCTGTATATGTTAATCTGAGCAACCCTCTTGAAGGTAACAGTATACAATATTACAACCATCATCAACTTCCTACCATCTTGTTTTATAAACCTGTACTCTTAGTGTATTTAGTTTCTTGTTTGTTTGTCTGTCTGTATTGCTTTTTTTGTTTTGTTTTGTTTTTCTTTTCTGTGACTTTTAGTCTTAAATAAAAAAAGAGATATTTGAGTAAACTCATAGCCTTTTTTTCTTTTCCTGTGTGTGTGTGTGTGTGTGTGTGCGTGCTATTGGTGACTGAGCCCAGGACCTTGGTACTGAGCTATATTCCCAGCTATTTGTTTATTTGTTTATTCATTTATCATTCACTCATTCATTCATTTGAGGTAAGACTTTACTAAATTACTAAATTGCCTATACTGGGTTCAAATTTGCAATCCTCCTGCTTCAACCTCACAGAGTGCCTGAATTACAGGCACACATAACCACATCTGGATTCTCATATACAAATAAATCAACACTGCCCTCTCCTTCCACAATTCCAACATCAAATCAAAAGTCTGAGGGAAAAAATGATCAAGTCAAAGCAAAGAAGACATCTGTCCCAGCTCACCCCACTGTGGTAGTTTTAAAGAGAAGAATTTGACACCATCACACCAAAGAGCTGGAGAGTATTGTACTAGGCTGCATGGGAATAATGAAGGAAATTGCCGCAAAATAAATTTGATACAGCTACCTACAAATTCAAGTAAAGAACAACATTTGTTCATTAAGTATCCTAACATATTAGACTTGGAAATATTATCTCAGCCTAATTTGGACCTTTTTGTGGTTTACTCCTTATCTTTGCCAAACTGAGCCTACCCATGCTGGTTCACAAGAATGTAACTCAGGATTTTAGTCTCACTGTAGGATCTTTAGAGCTTACTCAGAGGAGTCCAGAATCAAATGACCCTTGAAAATCAGTCCTTTCGTTTTTCCCAGAAACAACTTCTGGGACACAAGCAGGCACTGACAGGCTCAGTTAGGCATCTCCGCCTCACAAACACTAGATCATTGCCCTCAGGTGGCTGCTGTGCAGGTGGACCTGGTCTTTCCTCCCAGGATGACCATGGCTCACTCTCCTCTCATCTTTGTAAGAATGAATGAATAATGGCTTCTTTTTCTTTTTTTATTAGTATGTGTTTGCAATACATAATGAATACGTTCATCATGGGGTGCTGGTCCAAATAGTACTGTTTATTTCTTCTTGTCTCCTTCTCCTTCCCCTCACCATCCATCCCTAGATGCCCTTTCTGTCTGCAAAAGGTCTGCATCCCTGTTTCCTATCATCTGTCTTTTCTTTTCCTCCTTATATCATTTACACTTTGGTTTTCTCCTATAAGAGCAATCATGTGAATATCTGCTTTATTTCACTTAGCACTATGGTCTCAAGATATATTATTTTCCTCAAATGACTCAAATTTATCCTTCCTTATGACTGAGTAGTACTCTTCTGTGTACTTGTATGGCAAATATTCTCTAAGCATTCATCAGTTGATGGAAAAATGGGTCATTTCCAAAATTTAACTGTTACGAGCTTTGCTCCTATAAACAAGGATTGAATGCATCACAGTAATGTCATGTCTTCTAACCCTTTTGGAAAGATACCCAGGAGTATATCTGGGCCAAATGGAATTTCAGTCTTAGTTGCTGTTTTAAAAGTTAACAGTGCTTACCAAATGAAATCGCCAGAAATTCCCTAGCTAAAGTGATATACATAAGTCTAAGTTTATGCTCTTCTGTTTTTACTAAAAAAAATTTTCAAATGATAATATTGTGTCAAGAAAAGCCATAAGATCTGAACAATCTGCTTGAAAAGAGCCTTTCCATTGAAATGTAAAGAACATGAGGGGAAAATTGGATGTGGAAATATCCAGTGGGAAATATCTAGGAGGGAAAAACAGCAAACATAATGGGGACGCCATGGAAAAGAGGATTTGAAAGGGAAAAAGAACATATCTGGCATGTAGACAGAAAGAAACAGAAAAATAGCAGAACTGCGGAAAGTGAATTTCTTGAAGCCTGGACATATATTTGAACTATTTATTTCTCAATCTGCTGAAGGCAAAATTGAGACTGCTAAGGGAGCCTTCACTTTGGGTTATATTTCTTTTTTATATTGCATGCTTTTAAAAAGGAAAAAGGGTCAAGCTATCATTCCAAACTTCATACCCTAGGACTCTCTAAGCACATGGAATTATTCAACACACATTCCTTTCTGTGTTGATGGCAGATTTTGTTCCTCTGGTGGAGCAAAAGAAGGGAATAGGGGATATGAGATAAGAGAATTCTTCTATTATGACTGGAACTGTACTATATAAATTCATGTTTTGTGGTAAATGTTTTCAGATTTACACGAACTCTCCTTTGTAAGAGAATTAAAAATAGGAGGCTTTAAAAGGTGGTCCAAATTGCATGGCCAAAATGAGCAGAACTCATGGATTGCAGTTCTCTCTACAACACTTACCTAGCACCTTCCTGTTTCTCAGTGGTACCTGAGCTAAAGATCTGCAGCTTTTTTGTTCCCAGAGACATCTGAAACTCTCAATCTGCTAGATGTCTGACCTGCTAAATTCA